TGGGGATCGAATTCAGGCCCTTCCATTTGCAAGGCAGGCAGCAGAACCACTGAGCCAAGTCCCCGGCCCTCATGTGCTCAGGTTTGCCCACAACCAAGAGTGGTCAAGACCTTCCTGGTTCCATCACAAGGCCAGAAATCAGATCGTGGTGCTGGAATGCATGGGCCTGAACCTTCCTCTACAGGGAATCTTGTTTTTACCTGTGTGTGTGTGGTCCGTCCCATATATAATTGTAGTAAAAGATACATATCATAAAATATACCATCTTAATCTTTTTTATTGGGGATCAAATTCAGGGCCTTTCCATTGAGCTATATCTCCAGACCCCTTTTTATTTTGTATCTTGCAGCAGTGTCTTATTAAGTAGCTAAGTTGCCCGTGGTAGGCTCAAATTCACGATCCTCCTGCCTCAGTCTCTCCCAGAGCCCTGGGATTACAGGTGTGTGCCACTGTGCTGGGCTTCGCCAGTTTTTAAGTGTACAGTTCAGGGACATTAAGGACGGCCACGGCTGAATGTTTGTGTTCCCCTAAAATTCACACTGTGAAGCCCACACTCCCCGTGCGATGCTATCAGGAGGAGATGGGGGAAATGATTAGGGTTTGACAAAGGTGGAAAGGATGGAGCCCCATGGTGAGGTACAGCCCCAAAAGGAGAGGAAGCAAGGTCTCTTTCTTTCTGTGGGCCCTCCTAAGGAAAGGTCCTGTGAACACACGGAACATCGGCTCTTGAGAGTCAGAAAGGGAGCTCTTGTCAGAAGCCCCCAGATTTGGACTTCCGGCCCCCAGAACTGTGAGAAAATAAAGGTGTGTTTTAGGAGCCATGTGGTCTAAGGGCTCCGGTTCAGGCGGCCAGAGCTGACTCAGACAGCTCTATTTCCATGGTCATGCTGCCGTCACCGCCATCTACCCACAGAAGCTTTTCAGTCTGCAAAACGGACGCTTTGCTCTCATCAAATCATAGCTCCTCACCAGCCCCTAGAAGCCACCGTTCTGCTTTCTCTACAAACCTGACAGCTCTTGGTACCTTGCAGAAGCGGAGTTAATTGGTATTTGTCTTTGTCTTACTGGAGATCAGGTGGGAGGAATGGGGCCTAACTGGCCACTCGGTGACCCTGAGAAGAGGGCAGGAAAGCACGTTGACTCTGACTCGCTGCAGGGAAGAGTTAAAACACGGAGGCGAAGTTGTTTACCCGGAGAGGGACCATGGAGGGTGGGGACAGGTGAGTCCTGTGCAGTGCTAAGTGCTCGTGCCCGGTCTGAGTGAGTGAAGCCCAGGTGCGCCCGTCATTTGGGGGTCTCTGTCGAAGAGAGACCTGAGTCCCCTGGCCACCCTGATTTTAAGCTGTTTCTGTGTCTATTTCTCATCTTTGTCACACCTTGGTCAGGTTTGAGCTGAGCCAGTCGGCTGGTTCCTACCGGTGGTGTCCGAAAGGACCTGGTCAAGGAAGTACACCCGAGGAGAGAAAAGCCTGGAGACTCAGTGACCGGGACTGCCGCAGCGGAGAGGCGCTGGCCAGCGAAAGAAAGCGACAGATGGCACAAAGAAAGCATAATGTGAAATAGGAAGAAAAGGTCCACAGGGGAAGTAGGCAAAGAAAAGATGAGGAAAGAAGGAAAACATGGAAACAAAGCTTTGGTAAATAGGGAGGGGTGAAAGCGAGGGAAGTGGAATGGGAAAAACAAGAACCAAGGTAAATACAGAGTCAGTCATATCATATACCTGCCATGTATATCACGTACGAGTTCCCAACAGTGAATGTGATCGTAATGTGAACTCAATAAAAACTGAGAGAAAAGGAACGTGTGGGCAGTGTCGCAGCGCTTGCTTATCAAAGATCTGTCAGACAGGCTGTGCTTCGTGGAGAACCTGTGGGGTATGTGCATTTCCAATTGCTATTCCTCTTGACCCTCACAAGCCACAACAAATCATTCACGAGCGCAGCCCTTCACAGTGTAAGCGGCTTGAAGAATTAAAATTGAGAGTCATGAACAATAGGGCTCAAGGACTTTTCGGGACAGGCGAATTCCAGGCTGACCTGGGAGCTGTGCTCTTGCCTCCTCCAGCTACGAAGCTTCTCGCTAAGTCCTGCCTCTCTGCAGGGCAATACTTAACTTTTCACGTTAGCAGCCGAGCAAGCTCGACAGTCTCGGGCAGTGGACACCAAGAGACGAAGGAGGAGGAAATGCTGGTGGGAACAGGTCGTACTCAGATCTGATCATAGCACAGCTACGTCCCCTCTTCAGCAGGAGGCAGTTAGGGAGGTCTGCACCTGTTACCCCCTCTCGGCAGGTAAGGGACCACTCTCCAGAGAGGGGGACAGTTAAGTTAGTCATAGTGTGAGTCATCAGATAGGGCTAGGCCCTTGAAAAGAGCCAGTGTGGGTACATTAGGACTGTGGGTGGAGGTATAATCCTTACTGACATTTGTAGACTTCACCTGGAGATGAGACAGCAGTGGTGAATGTTCAAATTGCGATTATTATGAGACGAAAAAGGGGAGATGTGGAGCGCTGACGGGAAGGGTGAGGCCTGACTGGCTCCTCAGCGCTCACCGCGGGCACACGCGCCCCGCCCACGCGATAGTATGTGCCGGAATTCCCTTCCTGTAGTTGAAGATGGGGGTCACACTCCACACTTGGGCTGCTCTCACCTGTGGGCTGGCGTGAATGATACTGCTCTGTGGGCGTGCACGTATCTCTGAGTCCCCCTTTCAGTGTCGGGAGGGACTGCTGCACTGCACGGTATTGCTCTGCACACACCACTGTGTCCGCGGTGGCTGCACCCCTTTACGTGCCCACCGACAGCGCAGAGCGCTCCAGTCATCCCACATCCGTGTCAACACTCTTTATACTGTCTTTTCTTAAAACCTTAGCCGTTGTAATGGGTGTGCGGTGGTGTCTCAGGTGCTTTCAATCCGCACTTTCTTAATGATTAGTGATTTTGAGCATTGTTTCTTGGCCATTTATGTGTCTTGGATTTTTTTGTTTGAGAGAAGAAAATGCTCTTGATCACAACATGAACTGACACGCAGTCCTATCAGATGTGAATCAGGATGACTAATGCTGTTATAAAATTTATATTTCTCAGTTGACTTCAGTAGAAAATGTTATGTACGGGGGTTTTAGTGTTATGGGCTAATTTCAGTAATTTTTAAAAAATGGTAAATAGCAATTAATATATATTCTCAAAATGTGGTAAGACATAGAAAGGCAACTGACAAAATCTATGACAATGAAAACAGGCAGGTCAGGACTATTCTGTCAAACATTAAGAACCACACTTATTCTAGCTGTTGGGTCTGCACCTTTTCATTGACAAGACAAGTATTTGCTGTGCGCACCACATGATTAGTAAATTTCTGCTTGAGTATCAAAGACCTCACTGATCAAGATTCTAGATGACTTTTCTTTCCCAATTTTGCTCTTTTGAAACGGGAAATAGCCACCTCCATCTTTTGCATACAAAGAGGCAAATACGTCTTTTTTTTGAGAACTATCTCTTCACGTTCTTTGCCCGTGTTTGAACTGAGACGCTTGGTTTTTCTTGTTGAGTTGATGTGCAGGTGATTTTGATGGAAGGCAAAATGAAAGACTGGATGGAGGAGATTCACCTCTGTGGGGTGTCCCAGGCGCTCTCCTTTCTTGCTTGCCCGGCGGCTGTTTGACTCCAGCTGGCTGCTTCCCTCTCTTGCCCTTTGCTTGAACCATACCCAGACTTGATTGCTGCAGTAGAAGGGTGGCCTGTTCTTTGCACAAGACCATCCTTCACCATCTCAGAAAAGATTGCTGGGCCTGCGGGACAGGGTGTCTCTCCCTGTTCTTGCTGCAATAATAGAACGTAACCCAGGCTTGCTGGTATTAGTGCTTCCAACACCCTGGAATCGGGGTCAGCCTCAGGAGTGGGCCTGTGATCCAAACCTGTATCTGGGCTCTGCCTGGCTTCACAAGCTGGGGTGATGCGATCCTGGGTTACTGGTAGCCTCCTCTGGACAGCGTAACCCATCTGCAAGAGGAAATAAAAGGTTCACACACACACACACACAGTGAAGAGTAAGTCAAGGAAAGAGAAGAAAGAACGTGAACCAGACAGTGTGTCCTTGCTTGTGTGCCTGCATCCAGCTGTCCTGAAACCAGCCCACCCCTGGATATTTCAGACACATAAGCCAGCAGGTTTCTTCCCCCTCCTTACACTGCTTTGAATTGGGTTTATTTTATTGGCAACAAAAAAATATTCCTGATATAGATCCCCCTTCCTAGTACTTTCATCCATCCCTCCTGTGTCCATCTGTCTGCCCTTTCGCACCGCATCCCCACCCAGCTCAGAGCTCCTTTCTTTCCTATGAGTCCTGAAGAGCTGCTGTCTCTAGGGATCCCCAGTTCCAGCGGAGTGGGGAGACAGCTCTCCTGGTCTTCCCGTTCCCAACCCCTGCTCACCTTGCCCCTTAGCCACTTGCTATCTTGAATGGCAGGGCATCTGTAAGAGAAAATTGCACTGCAGCAGTGGACATGACCTGACCAGGGAGACATCCCACGTCCTCTCCAAGGCCCCCGGGGTACCTGAGACAACATCCTCTGCCCACACCTCCGGGGTAGCCTTGGGCAGGGGCCCAGCCCTGGTATAGGAGCTCAGGCCTACCCAGGGGCCCTAAGGTGAGTGATTCTAGAACAAGTGGTCTGGTGTCTGTGGCTGGTTTGAAGTGTGTGGCTGTTTTCTTGCGCAGCTGTGTTTTCTACAGAGTTCCCCTCCCCCTGGCCCAGGAAGGGGAAGCCGCCTCCAGGTGTCAGAAAGGGCTGAGCAGTCTCAGGAGAGCCCTGGTGAGTCAGTCCCTGGGGCGGGCTGTGGAAGGCAGCGGGATGGGGGTGGTGTTCTGGGGTTCCGGGGAGGATATAGGGGAGCAGCCACCCAGGAGGGAGAAGTTTTGGAGTCTTGCTCTCGAGGTCAGTGGGGGAGTGCAGCCCCCCAGTTTGGGGATAACAAGTGAGTTTATGTGATGTGGAGGCTGAATCCCAGGGGTGGGGACCACAACGGATAGAGACCTACACCCTGCCTGAGGGGTACAGACTGAAGCAGCCCCTGGCTTCCCGGATGACCCTGAACCTAACCCATCAGCACAGAACTTCTGTCCCCACCCTTGTGCAAGGCTGGGTTGCAGGGTGGAGATGCATTGCAGCCTTACTGCTCAGTCAAAGACATTGCTTTGGAAGTTCAGAAATTGCTCTTTGTAAAACAAAGAAATGTTTCTTGCACCAAGGAATCGAGGAAGTTGTGTGGTGCACAGTAATCAAGGTGTCATTTGTCTTCACCTGCACTGATGTCAGGAATGTCTACGTCCCAGGAGCCCTGCTTCTGCCGGTGTGCACCCTCTAAGCATCGGAGCTCAGTGGATGGAAGATGACGAACAGGTGAGAGGGGAAGACCAGAACGAAAAGAGCTCGCGTAGGTGGAGGTGTCACAGGTGCCGCCAATCGTCTTAGCCCCCGGCAATGTCATTGCATTGCTCCGCGACCATCGCGGGAGTGGGAGACTAGTGTTGTCCCCGTCTGATAGGTGAGAGTCTGCATGAGCTCTCACTGTGGTGCTCGGAGTGCCATGAATGAGCCATAGTTTGGGGCAGCAGGAAGGGGTGGAGATGGGAGCTGGCCCCAGGCTGGGGTGACTGACTCGTCCCTCACCAGGGGGGCTGTTTCTCGATCCCTAAGAAGGAACCATCCGCCCCCACTGCTTCTCCCTATGTGGACCCCACGTGCAGCGGCTTCTGGGGTGTGGAGAAGAACACGCCTGAATCAGAGGCGTGTGTCATTCCTCTGAGCCTCATCTGTGACGTGGAAAGACTCAGACTTCACAGCTGAGGGGAATGGTTGCGATCTTTTCAGGGCAGAGCCTCACAGCGGGGCCAGACCACTGTCCCAACTTCAGTCTGGGCCAGGTCCGAGCCGTTCTCTGCCTCGCTGGTGGGGAATAAGATCAAAAGGCCTGGGGGCCTTGGCCTCAGTCCCCGCTGTGCATGAGACTGGGCTGTGCCTGGCCCTAGAGATGCCCGCACCTTGGGGACCTGAGGCCAGTGCCCCATCCGCGCTGCTGTTGCCAACATAGCCAGCTCCCTGCAGTCCCGCCCCTGCCCCTGGCCCAGCACTGGGGAACAGAGAGGGAGACGGCCCAGCTGCTGTCCTCAGGCTCATGGAGACTCCCAGGGTCACACGGGCAGAGGCCACACAGCATGGGCGTCACAAGAGAGAGGGCCCAGAAGGCCCCTACACCCCCTCATCTGAGCGGAGGACGAGCTGTGGGGAGATGTTCGTGACAGTGCTGCGTGTCAATCAGGGTCAGCATCGTCTGCGGAGGTCTCTGATGCCGCAGGCGGAGCTGGGGCTAAGGCGGTGTCCGTGGGGAGAAGAGGGAGGATTGATTTTTCAGGGAATAGCCACTTATACGGTTTGCTTTTTTCTTTTTAAGCCAGTGGTGGTAAGATTTAATCTTTTAAAAAGTTAGTATTGGAGTTGGGCACAGTGGTGCATGCCTGTGGTAATCCCAGCACTCTGGGAGGCGGAGGCAGGAGGGTTGCAAGTTCAAGCCCAGCTGGGACAAGTGAGCCATTAGAGATCCTCTCTAA